TTTATTACTTTGCTTTATTCTTTCTTTATTGTACTTATTGCTGTCTGAAATTTTATTATGTAGATATATCTTTCTGTTGTACTTCTTCCTTGAATGTGTAAACTCTATGAGGGTAGAAACTCTTTCTTGTTCACCATGTTGGGGAGGAAAAACTTTTCTTCTGCCTTCTTAGTTTTAGTTGTTGGTGGCCTGCAAATTAAACTGACAAAAGATTAGCAGGAGAAAAAACAGATTTTGATCATGTACATAAGTATATGTACATATGGGAATTCACAAAGGGATGGTTAGAATTTGGGACTTATATTCCATCTTAACAGGTGAAGGGGAAGGAGAGAAGGGTACTTATGGGGGAAAAATGACTTTTTGGAAATATAAATGGGACCTTAGGAGAACAGGTGAGAGATATGATAGTTCTGTGACAATTTCAATACCCATCTTCCAGATCTATCAGAAATTAAATTAATTCATGTACTCCCAATTTAAAGGACCTATGGTTTTGTTTAATTGGTATGATAAATTGAGGAATTTAGTTGAGGATTCAGGATTTGAGTGTACTTTTTTTTTAGTAATATACAATTATGCTGTGCTCTTTTTTCTGCTGAAATGTTGTTTAAGTTCAACTACTTCCATCTCATTGCATACCAAGAACTTGTAATTAGTATGATTTTTCAGTAACAGCTTTTCTTAAGATGGTGTGATTATTCAGTATTGATGTGTATCCTTCTGCTCTTTGTGTTCATAACAGTACAAATCTTCAAAGCAATACAATAAAATAATCTTTCTGGATTGAAAGTTATTAGGCTGGACATCTTGTCTAAGATCCCAAATAAATAGAAAAGATCTATTGAAAATTAGACATTAGTAGTAATTTTTAAAATTTAATATGCTTTGACTCATGTTTCTATTCTCACTGCCTTATTATCCCATTTGAGAGAAAAATATTAAAATTTACTTGTTTATTTTTTTCTTTTTTCAGGCAAAAGGCAGGATTGTGGTAATGCCAGGTATTTATATATCTATCCATTCACTACTGTGACACTAAACTGTAGTGGAGGAAGAGCAAAGGAGGCAGGAAAATGTATTATGTGGTGTTCAGAGAGAAGAATACGTAGTTTGATTAAAATGTTTAAGTTTGGGAGATCTGTGCTGGAATTTAAAACTTTACATAAGGAGGAGAACATTCTAACAGAGATTACCTCAGAGAGGAGCAAATAAGAAGGTAGATTGGGATTGAGATTTTTCCATGTTTGCTCTCTCATAGTATACAGTTAAGAATCTAGATGTTCATCCCTGGTGAAGCACACCAAGTTTGATGCTACTATACTGTGTTAGGGCCAAATGTCCTAGTTGTTAACAGGGTATAGGCAAATGTTTTGACAACATCCTTGAATAAATATTATACTCTCTCAGTTCCTGAAAATCTATAATCACTAAATTTTTTCTTGTAGCCAGAATAATTTGATCATATGCTCCTGATGATAACTGTAAGATAAGTACCTAAATGGCACATTAGAAATGAACAGATGGGGCAATTTTTAAAAAATTAGATAAGGCAATTTAGAATCAGAGTGAGACAAATATAAAGGCCATCTTTATAAAAGCATAATGAATACCCATATGCTCATTCCCTAGATTAAACATTTTGCCACATTTGTCTCATCTTTTTATTATCCTGAGGTATTTTAAAGTTAAAGCCACCTTGACATTTTATCTTTATGCATCTCTAAAAAAAGGGTGTATTATGATAACCACAATACTATTATCACATCTATCAAAATAAACACTAATTCCTAATATCATTTAATACTCATTCCATACTTGCCTTTCTCCAGTTGTTCCCAAAATGTTTTTTATAGCTGATATTTTCAAACTAGGCGCCAGTCAAGAAATAAGCATTGCATTTGGTTGTTCTCTTTCTTAATATCTTTTAATATCGAAGTTTTCCCTTTTTCTTACTTTTTAAAAAAAATGACATTTGTAATAATGAATATGCTAATAGTATTGATTTAATCAACACATGTTGTACCCTCAAAACTATGTATAATCAATCATGCTTGAATTTAAAAAATAATTAAAAAATTTTAAAATTACATTTAAAAAGTCTGGACCACTTACCCTGTAGAATGTACTGCTTTCTGGATTTACCAGATTTTTTAGCTTGTTCTTCTAGCCCTTGTATTTCCTATAAACTGGAAGTTAGATCATAAAATTTGGTTAGATTCTGGTTAAATATTTTTGGTAAGAATACTTCATGGGTGATCTGTAAACTTCATATCACATCACATCAGAAAGCATTCAATCTCTGGTTGTCTTATTACCATTGATGTCAAAACTGACCAGGGTTCAAAATGGTGACAACCAGATAAAGTGCAGCTTTTAAAAAGAGGCGTGTAAAGGGTATTGTCAGATATTTAGGAAGGCTTTGACCTGTAGCAAATGCCTGAAATATGAGCAGGTGGAAAGCATATAGTAATATTTGTTATTTTGAGATCCTTTATAGATTAATCAAGGAGTGTTAAAGGGACTTACTGAATCTGATGCTTTTCTGTTTAAGACTAGATGTATTTAGTTTCGATAACCAATACCCAGACTTAGACAGTTAACATTAGGAGTGCCTTTGCTTAATATGTAATTATTAAATTATCTGCTGTGTACAAGGCCTTACTTAGGATGCACAGTTATACAAGAAACTACTTCTTCAAGAAGCTGACAGTCTCAGATAAGAAGATGTTATATACAAAAATATTAATTTAACAAACATTACCAAGCAAATGCAAATTATATGCCAATTATAATTATATATATTATATGCTAATTATATGGTAGATGTGAATAAAGCAATTAATATGAAGTAATCCTTCTACTTGAGGAGCTCACAAAATAGACTTGGAAACAAATTATTATAATTTCATGTAAATAAGTATTAGCAAGTAAAAATTCCTAGGTAAGTCAATCTGAATGCCTAATGAGTATTTATCATTGGGAAATATAAAGATAAATAGAACACATTAGTTGCCCTTTAGGAGTTTTCATAATGAATGAAACTTTACAACATTTTTAGGCTCCAGTTTCCTCATCCATAGACAGGAATATTGAACTAGTTTTCTGGGATACCTTTTAGCTGTATAGCTGTGTTAGTGTGTGTTTGGAAAATGTATTGCCTATATATTAACGTTGCTGATAACTGAGTAACTTGTTTTTAGTGGCCATGTTTTGTTATTTGTTAGATGGAAGTAATGTATTTGTCTCTTTATCCTTACAATAAGCTCTTGAGGTAAGCTGCATTATCCCACTTTCATTGTTGAAAAAGTTGAGGTTCTGGATTTAAATAATTGATCTAAGATCACACAGCTAGGAAGACTGCAGTGGTGAAGTAAGGATTCCAATCTAAGTCTGACTTGTCAGCCTGTGTTCTTCCTAATTCTTAGGACTTGGCAATAGTACTGTACCACTAAGGAAGAAAAAAGCCAAGTTAATGTGCCTGAAAGAGTGTATAAACACAGTCTATTTCAGCAACTTAAATAGTTTGAGATACAAAGTACATATTTAATGTCTTTAAAAAATATTTATTGAATATAGCCTAAATATTAAGAGATAAGTATGTAAAGATGAATAAACATTTTATATGTATAATCTATTGTCTATTGGTACAAATTCAGAATATGATTTTTTGTTTATAAATATCGAAATGATTGTTCATCAAACCAAGTAAGTAATCATAAAGTACTTGGTTGTGAGGTTTTAATGAAGTAGAATCAGATTCTTTTGTGAAATTAAACAGAAAAGTTGATATTGTAATGAATAAATTGTATAACACCTTGCATTATTCCCATTTACAATGAAGTCAGTATCTCTATGAATCCTGGGCCACAGAGAGAATCTTAGAGGTTCTCTCTTTCACACGTATCTCAGAGGTTGTGCTTTTGTAGCTTCTTCCTCAAACCTACCCTTACCTTTTGTTTTAATTTGATTTTGCTTTCGTTGAGGGGAGAGTAGGGATGGAGTACTCAATGACTTCTTTTGCCCCAGAATTATCTTTTTAGATTTAAAGTCAGTAATGCATTGCATTGTCATATAAACCAGTGAATGTGTAAGATTCCATCATACAGGTTCTATGACCTCAACACTTCTTCTGTAGAGTCTGTAGTCTATGTCTTTTATCACTTTTCTAATGTCATTCTTGCTTAGTAGGGAGAGTAATTCTTGAATCAATGAGAAATTTCAGAATGGGGATACCAAGTAGAGCAAGCAGTCATTATTATTCATGAAATTTTATGCAAAATTCTGATCTTCTTAATGTATTACTACTTCTTTCCAACAGGGGGTGGCATAACAGACAGAAATCTACAAAGGATCCTTGAGGGCTCGGGTGCTACAGAATTCCACTGTTCTGCTCGGACTGCTAGAGACTCGGGAATGAAGTTTCGGTAAAAATGTGTTCTTTGACTCATACAAGAAGGGATGAGATTAATCTTTACTTCCCCATATAGGAAAACCTTAGTTGATGGCATGATTAATGAATGGACTGTTGTGATTAGTCAAAGATAATAGGTAGATGGTTAAAATAAACTTTATCAATTAAAAACCTACAGAAGTAAATTTTAAAGGGGCTTTTTAGTTTTTTACTTCTTGAAGATATATAATAAACATTACTTATCAGTATATGTTCTCCCAATACCTTGGAAAAATCAGAATTGTGATTAGTACTTAAGTATTACAGTCGTTTTTGCAGTTGAAAACATTTCTAAAATGGTTCTGATTCTGGCATAAATAAGCAGGGTCTTCTGAATATAGGTGAACCTTTATATCCTAAGTTCAGCATTGCTGAACTTAGACTAGTTACTAATAAACTAATTCAGCAGCTAAGTTTCAAATGAGTCAGATAAGCATGTGTACCCATTTGACTGTGCTTTCCTTTAGCAAAGTAAATAACTATGCTGTGAGGAAGGAAGGGTCATAGCCATTTTTATCCTTCCTACCTTTAATACTTAATCCATCATCTCTCACCTTTGTTCTCTGTTTTCAGTTATTTTATTTATTTATTTATTTTAAAAGATGACTGGTAAGGGGATCTTAGCCCTTGACTTGTTGTTGTCAGCACAACGCTCTCCCAAGTGAGCTAACCGGCCATCTCTATATAGGGATCCAAACCTGTGGCCTTGGTGTTATCAGCACCACACTCTCCCAAGTGAGCCATGGGCCAGCCCCTGTTTTCAGTTATTTTGAAATTAAATCATCGTTAAGGAATTGAAACTATTATGTGGGGTTTTTTGTATTTGAGAGGGCTCCAATAATTTAATAGTAGTCAGATGTTTCTAAGTAGGGAAAAATGCAATTTAAAAGAAACAAGAGCCTTAGAATTTACATTTCCAGATATAAAATCAAGTATATTGGTAGATTTGGCTACTAGGTGTTTTAAGTAATTGATTAATGAAAATTGTATAATATGATAGTTCAGGGTCCTTAATCTACCCTTGTTCTTGAGCTATGAAATAGCCTATAAAATGAAATGCCAGTGGGACAGCTCATTTAACAACTTATATAATCATCTGTTCCTTTATTATTTCTATTGCAGAAATTTCTCTGTTGCCATGGGAGCCTCACTTTCTAATTCAGAATATTCTCTAAAGGTAACAGATGTGACCAAAGTAAGAACTTTGAATGCTATTGCAAAGAATATCCTGGTTTAGCCAGACCTCTCTGAGAAACATGGATATTACAGGATGAAAGTAGAGCTATAATCTACAATTCTCTATGAAACAGCTTTAACCTTCTTCTCTGGCCAGGAAAATCACAATCTTCATTTTAAGTTTCACATGGCCATGGAGAGTGTTTCCAAGAAGAAAAAAAACTTGAAACAGAGATACAGTCATTTCCTTTGCTTAGTTTTGCCAGCCATTGCTGTCATCATGGTTAAGTTTGGTCTGTACTTCTTTCACAGACAGAGGCTTAGTCTGTTTTCAGTGGAATTAATTGATGAGCTGGGAAAATTCAACTGCAAGGTATGAATTGAGTGTGACTTCAGGGGTGATTCAGTAGCACTGTTTTGCTTTTAATTTGAAAAATAAAAATTTCCATTGTATTATAGTAAAGTCTCTTATTCTTACACTTAATATAGTCTGTAGCAATGTATGAAAGGAAGTATTTTTTTATGTGTGTTTGTCTTCATTTTCTCTTTTTATTATGTACTCATTGGATATGCTGCCCTGGGCAATATGCTGAGGGTACAGAGTAAAATGGTACAGCATAAAAATTTCCAGACTCAGGAAGAAGGATATAAAAGTTCATGGACTTATAAAGCCAGAAGTGATCTCTGATGTTCACCAGGTTTCTTCTACTTCTATTCCCAGATAGAGAAATGACTTAACTATAAGTTCTGTCTGACAGTTTACAAAGACCTATAGTAAGAACTGGGGAGGTTAGGGAAGTTATCAGAGTATCTCTTTCTCTCATCTGAGGCTACAGTCAAGGAGGTTAGATTCTAGTGATGAAAGATGCTTTTCCTATGAGCAAGTCCCAAATGGTAAAGTTCATCACTAGCTGTATCTATTACTTTCATAGTTTTAGTCTCATTTTATGCAAACAATACACTGGTAATAGAAATGTTGTTCCTATTTTAGGAGAGTAATGGAAGCACAACATGAAGAGCTGGCCCTTGATCCAGGAAGCTAGTTAATGGAGTCTGAATAGCATGTACAGATTTGGGTACTAACGATTGTATATACCGAGAGCCTTGCCTTTATTTAAATGTGTCCTTTCTCTCATCTTTAAATCTTAGGTTTTTCCCTCACTTTTTCAGGTATAATTTCAATGTGGAATATTTGCTAGATAAATTACATAAATATGAGAGGCAAACTATTTAAAAATCAACAGTAACCTCAGTGATTCTTTTTTCTTGCTTGTTCAGACTATTACAAAAGGTAATAAATATTCCAAAAAGTAGTTTTCATTATTGGTTTTGGAATACAACATCTAAGTATCATATAGTGGGTCTTCAAAAAGTTCATTGAAGAATCTTTCAATTCCATTTTTCCATGAACTTTTTGAAGTACCTTCATACACATGCAAACATAATCATATTTAGTATTTTTGCCTAATCCTCTCCTGTGCTTGTAATTCACTGTATGATCCTCCAGAGACAAGAGCAGGCCATGTTATCATTGCTCTTTTATTTAAACAGATCAGTTAAGAATCTGAGAAGTGATATCCATTACTCTAGATTTACCAACAAATTAATGTTATGAGACTTGAACACTAGCTGACTTCCCAAGTCTTCTGCTTTAATATGCTTCTAGTATGTGGATGTGATACAGAGAACAATACTCTTGGGCAAATTTGACATACCTGGGATCATATCCTTTCTTCCAGTTTAACCATGAGAAAGTTAATTTCTTGAACTTTAATTCCCTCATTTGTAAATCAGAAATACTAACTAAACTATAGTTTCTGGTTAAGTGATATATTAGAGCACCATGCACATAGTAAGTACTCATTAAATGTTAGTTCTTTTCTCCTAGGTTAGCTTTGTAGTATCAGTCTCTGATAGTTTAAAAGCCTTTCCCGGGAAGCCAGGCATTGAGTATTGAAGCCAGCACTTACTTTGTGCCCTCCACTGTGTGAATATAAAAGAAGCATGAGATACTCCCTACCTTTATTTTTCTGCACTTTAGTCCTGCTTTAACATATTTACTGATTATTTCATGTGTATAAGTTTCTTCTCAGCAATAAGTGTTTTGAGAATAGGAGACCAAGTCTTTATATTTTTGTGTATCTCCACTACACCCACCACATTGTATACTCATAGTATTGATTACTTTGCTAGTGGAAAAAGAGCACTGAATTGGGAGTCAGCTCCTAGATTCTGGTCTTGACTCTGTCAGTGACTTTGGTAACTGTGCTGGTATCTTCAGTTTGCCCTTCCAGGTCCACTCTTCACTTTGCTCTGTGTCCTGGGAGGCCAACCTGTATGAACTGCATCAGTGGCTCTCCTGCCCTTCATCTTCTGGTTGGGTTTGATCAGTGGAAGGGAACAGGCGGGAGACGGAAGGTGGGAGGTTTCCTCCCTACCATATTGTTGTGAGTTAGCTGCATCCCTTTAGGGGTCATAGCTCCTATTAGTTGTTCCTCTTCATACCCTTTCTGGGTTCTGATAACTAGTCCTCCCTTGCCTCTTCAGACTTATGGGTGCTAATAGCTTCAGGCTGTTACTAGTGCTGGCATTCCGCACTATTTATTCCTTATTGGTTTTCTTAAACTATGCTCATACTTTTGTATGTAGTTCCTCTATTAAACTCTCTTGAAATTTCCCTATGAAAGTATACCATCTGTTTCCTATCAGGACCCTGACTGATAAGTAAGTTATAACCTTCTATAGTTTAGTTCCCCATTTGTAAGTTCTTTCCAGCATTAACATTTCTAAATACAAACTAATAATAATCATATTTTATTTTTAACTTTTTTGTATTCTTTATGTAATACGTCAAGGAAAGGCAGGCAGTCAGTTTTGGGTTTTTTTTTTTTTTTTGGACCAGTATGGAGATTTGAACCTGTGACCGTGGTGTTATAAGGCTGTGCTCTAAACAACAGTAATTGGTTTAAAATTAACTTTAGCTTCTACTTTAGCTTTTAGTTTAAAATTAACTTTAGCTTCTACTTGAATACTACATTGTTACATATCCTAACAAAAGAATTCTATTAAATAATTGCCTAAAATAGTTATATCTTTGGGATGTTTATATCATTTCTGTAATTCTGTGGATTATTTTAAATTCTATTCCCAAAGCAACATGATGTCACTTTGAATACATCAGGCACTTTTCTTGGTCACTAAGCCAACTCTCACAATTTAGTAATCTCAGACCAATCTTCCAACTCACACCAACAGTTATTTTTACCTAATATTGAATCAGTACAGCAATTTTTATAAGCATAGACTAAGAAATTATATGACTTTAAAGAAATTTTCATTTAAAGTTCTATGACCTGATTGCAGCAGACATATTTAATGGTGAAATAGTAAACACTTTTCTCCTGAGATGGGGAATGAAACAAGGATGCCCACTATCACTATTTCTACTCACCATTTTACTGGCAGTCTTAGCTAATATAAGGCAAAATGAAAAATTTAAGGATTGGAAAGGAAGACATAAAACTAATTCTTTGCAGACATTATGATTGTATGAAGAAAATCTAAAAAAGCTATTAGAATTAATAAATGAATTCAAAGTTAGTGGATACAAAGTCAGTATACAAGAATTGTATTCCTATATTCCAGCAAAAAATTAGAAAATGAAGTTTATATTTGTATATATCATTTTTTTTTTTTTAAAAGATGACCGGTAAGGGGATCTCAACCCTTGGCTTGGTGTTGTCAGCACCACGCTCAGCCAGTGAGTAAACCGGCCATCCCTATATAGGATCCGAACCCGCGGCCTTGGTGTTATCAGGACCGCACTCTACCGAGTGAGCCACGGGCCGGCCCTATATTTGTATATATCATTTTAAAACAAATTACATTTTAAATATGTACATTTATTGTATGTCAATTATACCTCACTAAAGCTGTTGATACCATGTACAACCATGCTTAATAGCATCAGTACAATGTCAAATGCCTAGAAATAAATCTAATGAAAGAAAAGTTCTTTAAAATTAGGCTATTTGCATCTCACTTTTTATTATGAAAATTTTAGTATGAGGAGGGAGTGATTAGTGGGGGAGGGATGGAGGCAAAAAAGTCTCCTTAGAGGGGTGATAGTGAAACAAAATTGAGAAACACTGAAAGGTACTGAGTGCTTTTTTCCTCCTTAGTAAGGTACTGAGGGGGAAAATGGTCGTAACTTCAAATCACAGTTAAAGCTAAACCAGTGAAAATATGGTATAAAATGGACTTAATGTGAACTTATTTTGGTTAAAATGTATTTAGGAATACATCGGTGTA